AAAAGGTGTGCTTCGTTGCTAACCTTTTGCTTTTGAAAATGGAGCGTATTGGTTGAAATTCATGTGTATTAATGAAAAAACTTAACAAATGTAATATTAAATGTGTGGGATGCGCACGCTCAAATTTTATAAATCAGAAAATAAAATCAATAGAAATGATAAGAAATACAAATTTTTTTAAGTTATGTATATCAAATTCAAATTTTACTTTTGTGAAGAAATATTACATAAAAATCATAAAGTTATAAATTAATGTGGGAAAATTTTAATATTAAAATATTGGAATTCAAATATTGAATGCATTGAAGTGAACTAATTTTTATCATTATTATTATTTTGATTTTCAGAATTCATCCTTATACAAGTCCTCCAAATGTCTTTTTGTTCTCTGTACATTTTGATTTTGCATTTCACTTGTTCGTCCTTTCTTAGGAAAATAAAGGAGTATTACAAGTTGATTTTAGGGCCACTATTAGGAGTATACATTGTAGTCGACAAAAAAAAAAAAAAGGATCAGGAAGAAGAGTTCTTAATAAAAATATATTCATGTATCTAAGATACGATTGCTATAATGTTCTTCACATCAAAAATCTTTTATCGATTAGACCCGATACCACCAAAATTCCAACATTGAACTGATAAACGTGAATTCTGGTCATTCCTATTCATTATGCTTAAGAGGAAGAACCGTGACAATAAATGGCATGCGCCCATGTTTAGTAAACATGACAGTAGACTCTCTTTAACCGAAGTAAATGGGTGGAAAGTGGAAATTAATGTATCACGGTCGTTAGCGAGGTTTTAATGCATCCAAATTTATTATTTCTATTTGTTGTTATTACTTTTAATAGCTGTTATTTGCTCCCCATTTTACCAGTTTTATTTGAATAGCTTTTTTTAATGTAGTCGCAATGAGCAAATTTCCTTTGTCGATCTTAAAAGAACAAAAGTAAAGGCGTGAACAAAAGTTCTATAAAAGAAAATCCGTTGCCGATCTTAAAAGACAGTAAATCATATTCTATAATCACGTTCTAAATTGTGGTGTATTAAATGAGTAAATCATCTCGTTGAGTGACTTGTTCGGCTTCTAATTTTTTTAGCTCGTCGCCTACTACTAATTTATTGTAAAAGTAATCTTTTGTATAATACAAAGAACTATATTAGGAAAGAATTGAACACATTTATTTAATGAAAAATTGTCCAAACTGCTTTAACGTCCAAATTTATAACATTATCATAAATTATTATCAATTAAATTAATTTCAATTTTTAAATGACTTGGTACCAGACAAATTAACTCGAGTTATAATATAACTGCAAATTCATCACAGAACTAGTTCCTGGAGAAGCTACATACAATCACTGCATTAACGGGTTTGTTAAAGGAAGTGGATTTTCCCGGTGAAAAGTACAAAACTCACATATCAAGAAATGATGGAAGAAAGCATCTAGATTTACCAGCTGGGTATCAATGTTATAGTATGAAGTACAACTATTTACTTAATATCTACATAATTTAACTTTTTATTTGGTTGAAATATTCCTTGTGGAAAAAATAACAATACCTGGATGGCATGAGTCATAAAGATCTTTAGATGGAAACATCAAGGAAGTTGATTTCTTGATTTTAATTTTTGATGCCATTTAATTTTTTAATTTATTATGATGCAAGTGTTTCTATATAAGCCGGGAGCTCTTTTTGGTACAAGATGTGAAAGATATAGCGTGTATTTATTAGGAATGCATTTAGAGACTTGTCTTTTTGCAGAAATTCGTAAAGTCATTAATGGCATCAATATTTATTAATGCTTAAGTAACGATAAGAAAAATGATTAGCAATTTTTTGTAGGATTTAAACATGTCTGTCCTTCTACAATTTCTGTATTATATAAATTTTTTAAAAAATAATCATATTTACCATAATTATATTTTGTATGCGTTTCTCGAGTTATTTTATAATATATAAAAGCAAAAATCATTCATAAATTTTTAAGTCTTATACATATTTTATTATTTTTTTTATTTTTTATTTTTTCTTTCTGATTAAATTATTTATATTAAAGAAGATTATATTTATTGGATAAAAAAAATAATTTTTGGTTAGATTGGAAAGACTGCAGACATTTTTTTTTTTTCTATTGCTGATAAGCCTCAGAAAAATTATTGAATAGTGCAACAAATTTCATTTTGTTCTGATTTGATTTGAAGATTGTTCCTTATAGTCTGCATAGGAAGTTGATTTATAAATGGCAGCTTGTTTTCGCTTACGGAAGAACAACAATAAACTTCCACCTGTCAGCAAAAGGAAAAATATTATTCCTAACACAAAACCAACTATTATTCCAACCCTTACAGGTGCATGTATATTTTCGTTGATGTTGCCAGAGGAGTTCGGTGTACTTTTAAAATCTAAATTTTTCGGGGTATAATTCTCTTGCCATTCGTATGTGGTTGTATCTGGTGAAACAAAATTTATTTATGAGCATTAATGACGAACCTAATATTCAAAAATGACAAGAATGATCATTACCAAGGACATAAATATTATCATCTACTACGTCTCCAACATTCGTAGAACCTATTAAATAATAATTAACGAAATAAATATCACGTGATACAGGGAGCTTTCTTTTTTTGAGTACATACTAATTACACCGAAAGCGATCAGCATATTGGTTCCAACCATCGTAGCCGTATGTGAATATCTTGATGGTGGTATTCTCCCTCTAGCATCAATTAATCTCCAAGTATATTGTAATGTTGTTGTATCCAAAATCGCAATATCATTATATAACACACTATAATTTGCGTTTGCGCCACCGTGTATGATCACTTTACCGTCTTGTGCTGCGTATTGAATAAAAAAAATTATATATATTTAGAACATTATAATATTCTAGATGGTTTTAATCAACTTCAACTTACTTCCTACTGCGACATGATCCCTACGTGCCAAAGGTAAGGTACCAACTGCAATCTTAAATAAAATTTAGTTAACATAAAAGTTTTTCAAAAAAAAAAAAAAAAAAAAATCCTTTCTGCTATGATAATTTAGAATAATACCTGAACGTTCCACGTTGAAGTTAATGTATCGTAAACGAAAATTTGACTCATGTTTACTAATGTGTCTGCAAATTCCCCGGAATACCCTCCAATTACGTACATTTTTCCATCCGGCAAAATTGTTGCTGTGTGATGAAATCTTCCCGGCGGTATTTTTGGATCTACCTTTAAATCATCCAAGATGTTTTGTCTTGTATCTAATCTAAGTAAATCCTGTAATTGAACTCTTACTGAAACATTAGGATCATCCGTTTCAATACCACCATAGATATAATTCATGGAATCACTTAATCTTGTAACAGCCGTGTGCTCTCGCAATTTTATCGGCAAAGTTACATTAGGGTTAACCCAATCAGGGGATTGATCTGAAGTATTATAATAAAATAATGGGTTTTCTGGCACTGGGTCAGGGTAATTCCCACCACATAACACAAGAAGTTCATTTTGTGGTCCGCCTACACTAAGCGTATGTTCCGCTACCCTTGGGCCTACCGAACGTATTGTCCAATTGGGATCCGACACTGTGAAAGGTTCCGTCATGTCAAGAGTGAGTAGTTGGTTTGTATTCTGTCTAGTATCATTAAAATTATTATTAATCTCTCCTAATTTTCCTCCAAAAATATATAATCTATGAAATATTAAGATGAAAATATTAAGCATCAGCACAGTATTATATACACGTATAAAAGGGTACGACTAATTTTTTAATACCTACATGTTATCTAAAAGCACGGCTCCATGACCCCATCGAGCTTCTGGATCAGCATTTGTGCTTTGTATTAAAACGAAGGCTAACGAAATGATTAGAATTAGTGGGTTGATAAAAATCATTTTTTTTTTTTTGCTATTTTTTTCAATTGCAACTTTGGAATAAACAAAACAAAAAAGTACGTTTAAATATATTACGCGTGATGGCCATAATTTATAAATAATATGACGATCGACGGATTTACCGAGATTTTCAAAATGATATAACCAATACTTTTTGTTTAAATATAAAAGGATGCATCCTGAAACAAAAAATTTATTTCGGTAATGAGCATGCAAAAAAGGTTAAAATGTTATCGGGTTTGGACCCGTTACCTATAAAAATTGATGATGTTTTTCAAAATTCATGCATTTTTACTGGTTTCATGAATCATCAAATTTTAATGATAAAAATATCTTTTTTAAATAATCGAGACCAGAAATGATTAAGTTCCGAAAATCCGTTGATAAATTTGATTATTACTTCTTGATGGTAATAATTACATATTTAACAGTTAAATTAAAAAATTTTAATATAAGTGGAAATTACGTTCAAAGAATATGCATAAGGTATGACGATGAATTTAAATAATGAATGAAATAATACATATTACGAGTAATACATATTGTTGCAAGACCAATAATTCGTGTCTTTATTTTGATTCCTTATAAACTGACAAAACATATATACTTTGTTGTTTCAATGCGAATCAATATAAAAATAAATTCGTAAAACTTTAAACAAAGCAGTTTCACAAACGGTTGATTTAGTATAAAGAAATCATATTTCGTCTTTTAAAATTTTCTCTTTTTATCATATTGTTTCACAACACCATATTTTTCATCATTTAGTACGACGCATGAGACCTCACTACCAAGTACTTAACTGTTGAATAATTTTGCGTGAATTGATAAGGTTACAGATCCCTACTAAATTCATTCAATACTCCCGCCCGCATAATCGTACTTTTTTTTTTTCGAATCGATTTAGTTGTACGCATGGTTATTTATGCCAATATCTCGGCACTGTAAATTTTTATATAAATCTTTTTTTTCGCATTATTTTACAAATATTAATCATACATGTCTTCATTATTTACATTGTATTCGCGATTTGCAAATGGCACTTCACATCGTTATGAAATGTCGATCCGAAAAAATATTATCATTCACCGGACATTATTAGAGACATGATTTTCGGTCTAACAGATGGCTTAACGATACCATTTGCCTTGGTGGCAGGATTATCTTCTTTAGGACATAATTACATTGTAATTTTAGGTTGTTTAGTTGGTGAGTACTTTCTTTATCTATCCGTCCATATCGCAATTGATTTTCTATGATGGTGCGTCATGCATAATTCGTTTTTAAGAATTGATAGCAAGCACGATATCAAAAACAGCAGGTGGATGGGCAACGTCAAAAGCGGCAGAATATCATTATTGGGCTGAGAGAAACGCGGAAGAATTCAAAGTTCAATACTACCTAGAATCTGAGATTCAAAAAACAATTGGTAAATTCATTCCCGGTTTTTTCCTTAATGAAAAAAAATTTTTTTTTTTTAATTATAAGAAGAAAATCCTTTTTCGAATGAATAAAAGATAAAATGCAACCTTATTAGCTGGATTATCAAGCTTTAGCGCATTTTTTTTTGAAAAGTTATCCAATAATCCCGAGAATTTGTAGAATTTATGATGAAATTTAAATTTAATCTTGAAAAACCCGATCCTGCACGTTCTTTAGGTGGGTCAACTTAAACGTTTATGTATTTCACATTTTTCTTTAATTAAATGATTTTATAAAAAAAAAACTTCTTTAAAATAGCAAAGCGCATTAGTAATTGGAGCATCATATTTGTATCTGGATTAATTCCGCTATTGCCATACTTCTTCATTAGAGATTGTGTAACTGGATTATACGTCTTCACATTAAGTTGCTTAATTTTATTTGGATACATTAAAGGTACACTTGCCCCAATAAGGCTATCTGGGGCGCCATCGAATTTTGTTTTCGTTGAGTTTAGCGTAGCCAAAATTTGAGAATAGAATTGTAATTTTTCATTATCGGTTAAGCAGGACCAAGTTAATGTTTAATAAAATGTTAAAAAAAAAAAAAAAAAAAAATAGGGTTTAATTTTATTATAACAAAAAATATAAACATAATTTATTTTTTTTTGCGATCTATTATCTCCGATCGTATTATTTACAAAACTTTATTCAAGCTTTTGACCTGAAACCATTTCGCCTTATGTTGTTATTTTTGTTTCTGATGGTTAAATACAGTGACGCTCAAAAGTATTGCATCGGGTACAAATATAAACAATTAAATTACCCTTAGGTTTCGACGAACTATAATAGTCGAAACTTAAATAATCGACGAAAGTCAAATTATTATTATATTAAACTTATTGATCTTTATTTTTTAACTTGGAGATTTAATTCTCGCAAAATTTTAGAGAAAAAATTTTTGATTAATTAAATAAATATGGGATTTCCACTGCGTACCGGTAAAAAATGTCAAGAAAATTCACGTGATATGTTTTGTCACCGGTGACACATCCCTCCATGTTTAATTTTACCAAGTATTATGGAGACAGAGAATTTTTCAGTAGTTCTCTCGACTGTTAATAGATTTTAGCATTCATAATTAGCAAAGTCATATACATTTCAACATATCGAAATAAAAAATATTTTGTGCTCAGAGGACTGTCAACGCCATATCGTGTTGCAAATATCATATCGTGCTAAATAAGCGTGCAGAGGATATTTACTAACGTGCAGAGGACGTGATAAAGGCACTATAGAGATATGGCTCTAAACATGCTGCTGCGATGAGACAGAGGAAAAAAGATAAATCTAGTTTCTTAACCAAAGCAATAGAAGAGGTGAAAAGCAAAAGTGCACTAGACACATCTATCTCTTAAAGGCCCAGCCACACGGTTTAATCATCGCAATAAGTCTATTTCAATTGTATAGAAATAAAATACTTAGCTGCAGCAACTTTCATCCATTGCGTAAATAGTATTTAGAGAGGCTAAAGTAACAAAGTATTTATTGTACCAACAGTTCAAATATTATTAAAAAAAACGCATACTTAAACGAAAGTTGTTACGCGGAAAGATTAACTTCACGTTTTATATTGTAACTCGCGACGATCGACAAAACAATCCAAAATTAGTAAATGATATCTTTATATGGATATGATCTGCACTGTTATCACGTTTTTTTGTCATTTATTTTTAATAATTTTTAATGCTTGTAATTAATTTCATTTAGGTTGGTGTGCCATAAAAGATAAGTATTAGCAAATCAAATCTATTTGTAAAAATGGATAATACTCAGAAAAAATTCAGAACATCAACTTTTAAATACCGCATCTTTAAATAGTTGTTCTAATAAGTTTAATAAAAACTTTCTTTTATTTCATATGTAATATGAAATGTGAAGAACTTATCACATTATATAAAGGGTATAAAGAATGCAATTAATTAATGCAGAATGGGTGTATAAATCTTACAATTCTAAAGGACTTTCAGATTTATGTAAAGAAACATTATTCAAAATTTCAGTTATTAATAAGAAACACTATAAGACTTTTAGGATACCTGTGCTTCTTAAATTATTTATAATACCTACCTCATTTCTATGAAAGAAATATACTGAAAAATATAAGATTTTGGATGTTTAATAATATCTGGAATTTTCATTTTTTGACAAATTTTCTTTAATATATAGGGTGAGTACTACTAAAATTTTTGTTTAAAATTCTAATTAGATAATCAAATTAAATCAACTATCAAATATCTTTAATTGACTAACTATAATACTGACTGATTTATAATTGATTGTTTTACTGACTGTTTTAACTTAAAAATATTTTATAAATATTTAAAATTTTATAATAACATAATCAAAATAGTAGCTCTTTAAAAAGCTTATAATTAAGAATTATTATTAAGATAAATTTACATATAAAAGAAATTTAGGTAATACTAATAAATATATTAGTACAAAATTTTATAAATAAATTCTAATTATAAAAAGAAATAAAAAATTATTTATACTAATATTATTCTTTTTTAAAGAAATTTAACAGAATTTTATTAAAATAGATATAATATTTTAATAATAATTTTTTTTATTAAACATTTTAAATATTATATTTAAAATAATAAATATATAAATATTATTTAAAGTATTTATAAATATAAGTATTTTAAATATTAATTAATAATAATAATTTAATATAAAAATAGATTAAAGAATTAATTAAAGTGAAAATTAATTAAAAAAATAAATACTAAAAAACATAAATTATTTATTAGTTCAGAGCGAAGTAGAGGACTATATAATTCTATGTTATTTGACTCAAAATGTTCATTTTCCTCCTGCTTATAAACTGAGTCAATTAATATTATTAGTTCTTATTAATGCATAAACTTTAAAATAATAAAATAACATGTTATTGTTTACGTTTTTAAATTTAAATTAAACTCAAATAAATTATACCACTAAATTAAAATAAATATACCACTAAAAATATATCACTAAAAAATATACCACAAAAAAAATACCACTAAAAAAAATCACTAAAAAATAGCACAAAAAAAAATTTTGTTACTCTTTCGATATCATAGAAATTAGACATTTTTCTTTAGTCTTCCTTTCTTGTAATCTTATAACTCTGAATTCATTAAAGTCTTTAAGTAAACTGCTTGAAATAAATATCATTGAGTGAACAAACTCTTGACACTATAACAAACGAAAGACTAGCAGCAAACTCCTAACTTTTAAGATCTATTTTGGCTTTTAGTAATATAAGCCCTTAGCTTTATGTACTGTTATCACCTACGTAAGACATAGAGAAACCTAAAATCAAAAACACAACTTTTCAGATTTACTTTGCTAGATGTATTTAATAGGAATGATTGGGACACGTCCTTGATTATTACGAAGATGCGAATTACATTTTGTTTACTTTCACAGTTAAGACAGTTCCTACATTTCTTAGATGTCTCTATTAAATTTCTTTGTGTTTTACATTCATGAGTATTTTAATTCGTGTATCATGTTCTTCTTCAGTTTTATTGATTTTTTTACCATTTTCTTTTACAATCACAGGCTAAATGTGCTTTGCGCTATTCATCCATTTCATTTTTTTGGCTATTTCTCTTTCAGAGTGTTTCAGAATTAGTACTTCATTTATTTATTGTATAGTGAATTTAAATGCACAAATTTTAAGCAATTTTATTATCTTTATTATGAATACTTTATTATGAATACAACTAACTATACACAGTTCCTGGCAAAAAGAATAGTGGAAACATATTTCGACGGTATGTACAAACTTTATTTTAATGTATATTTTTTTTTATTATTTATAAGAATAATACTAACGACAACTTTTAT